GTGATTTCCTTGATCCTATGGCAGAGGTGGAAGAGACCAGCTATGGTCTGTCCGATGAGGTGGGTCATGGCTTGGTCAACTGACAGAACATACAAGATCTATAAGCCTGTAATGTTATTCTCCTGATAGGATAAGAGGAAGGGGGGTGGGGTTAAGATAAGTTTAAGATAGATAATGAGTAATAATTAATGTATGGCAGAAGGAGGTTGTGAAGGACACAAAAACCCATTTTTGGTTGAAGTCACAGTGACCTGGTGAAATAATTTTCTAAGAAACAGCTGCAGATGTTTGTAAGAAGTTAACCGGTTTCTTTGTTTAAACTGTCACGTGGATCCTGCGAAGAAAAAGTATATAAGCTATGTTAAATCCATAATCAGGACTCCCTCCATGAGCTGGGAGTCTCCAGTTTGTTTACAGCTCTAAAATAAAGTGGATAGAAAAAGTCTGATTTTCGTCTTGGTGTTCTGTTCACCTGGCACCAAGTCCCGAATCTGGTAATTAGGGTCGATTGGCTGGACCCAAACAGTTGCTTCGGCACACCCTGATAAGATGGTCCATTTTAACCTCTGGCTACGTGTGAGTTAAAAGGTTGCACAAACACGAGTTGTTAAGGCTGAATGTGTTGCGCAAACCCTGAAAGTGGGCTTCATTTCGGAGCCTGGGTAGGGGAAGGCCGCCAGCCCCCCAAACCCATCTCTGAAAGTTTTCCCATTCAAAGCGCAGCTCCTACGCGCCATCGAGCGTCTCTGTCCTGCCCGTGCTAAGGAGCCTGCTTCGGATCGCGGCCTGCCTTGCCCTGCCCTCGCCCCGCAGGCCAGGAGGAGCTCTACCCGTTGGACTTCTGTCAGGCAGCAGCCTCGAAAGAGCCAGGAACTGAAGCAGCGGCCCCGTCGGCAAAGATCAGCTCGCCTGAGCGCGCACGCCCGCCGCAGCAGCAACCGCCTCCCGCAACCCACGCTGCGGCCCTGCGCGTCGGAAAGCGCGAGGCGGCGGCGGCCGGCGCCCCGCCCCACCGGCCCC